AGTTATGCTTGTGTGTGTGGGTGTTAACATGGGCATTCTTTTAGTATTTTGATGAATGAATGAGTGATCAACATTTTGAATGATGAACATTTTACACTAAAGACACTTCACGCATTTCTGGATTTGCAAAGTCTAAAACACGTAAACACTATCCGCAATGGTGTTTTAAGACAACCATAAATAATAATGGCAATGCATGTCAAATAATCCATTTCCAAGTTTTGACAACGCGCCCTTGATGATTGTAATTAAATGTGTGTTATTTACGTATAGTTGAATGTAATTTCATACTTGAGCACCGTTGAAAATAATCTTTCTTATAACTTGAAACTATTTATGTACTTGGGGCATAATTGTGTTGTACTACAGTAGTGGCTGCAACATAAATTGACTGTACCTTAACATGAATGACTGAATTTACATTTTTATTCACTGTAATGTGAGAGTTTACACTTTAACCATATACTACTAATACTGGATATTTTGGTTAATTTCTTTATGTTGATTGTCTAATCGACGGAAGATCTTTTAAATTAAATTGTTAATTGCTTTGTATTCACACCTTAGTGGTTTTATTGCAGACCGGCTGCCAATTATTTCATTTCGAAGCTAAGTTCACTTCTGAAGTTAAAATATTCATTCATAAATTGCTGTTGAGTATGAATGTGCTTACTTTAATACGGAAGTAGTTAATTTTTATTATTTAATTTTTTTAATATTGGGTGTTTTGGCGCTCTGTTTTTAACTTCATTGCGCAAAATTATGAAAATAACAGTTTTAAATTTTTAATAAAAAAATAAGCTCTTCAGCAATTGAGAGGTAGTAACTTCGAGTAAACTATGGGGTCCTCTAACTAAGAAATAAATACACCAGTATTTGGAATCTTCAAAATTAATCAGATTTTATCCTTCATTAGCTTTATTAGTATGAGCCTAATTTAGTTTTCAATTTCGTTTTTTTGCTATCTCTGTTATGGGAATCGTTTAACTAGACCACTGTGATTGGAGCGATAGGGCAAACATATCCAGTGAAGATGACTTGAGTTGGGTTGGCGGCTATTGGTCAGTGACCAACGCTCTTAGGTCAATAGTATCATTATTATACCGCTGTTGAGCTCTTATCTTCACTATCCGAAATGTTCGAAACATTTTGCTATCTTATAAAAGTAAAGAGTATTCCAATTTTCGTTGAATCAGCAAAACAGTCAGGAAGTGTTATCCGGGGAACTTGCGGGGCGCGCCGGATTATATTGTAACTGATTGTCTTGACATAGTAGATTTTAGCGACCACCCTTCTGCTTGGAACACGATGATATGGCTCTTATTCATTGATAATATCGTAGAGTGGTTTCTACAGCCGAAGTATTCATTAAGTTTTCAGCCCTCTGTAAAGATGGCCTTGGAAAAGATAATAAAGAAATAAAATTTTATCGTACCCTATACTTCATTTCTCCCAAGGTTTAGTTGCATTCAATCTGTTTGCGTTGCGTCTCGCTTGTAATTTGCCGTACAGGTTCAGATGAAAGAAGTTGAGGAAAGTTAGCGGTGATTTCGAGGGAGTAACAATATAATTACCTGCAATGACGCACAGATAATCCAAGTCGACCAATTCTAATTAACTCGTGATGCTGCTCGATTAAGTACATTGAATAGTGTATGTCGATAAAGTTAAAGCACCACATGTTGAACATGAACTGTTTTAATTATCTGCTGTACATATTCAATTACCTTGGGATTCGTCTATACTCTTAAGTCAAGCGCAGGTCTTCAACCTCGTTCTTTCAGCCGAACAATCATGGGTCTATTCAACAGTGAAATTTCGTTATATCTGCAGAGTCTTGAAAAACGAAATTTTTGATATTTAGCAAATGTTCTCCTATGAGACAGAGTTCGTTTCTTAAGTCTTTTATGTTTTTCAAGCATAATTTATCTGTCACTTCTAAGCTAAGCGCAATCGCTTATTAAACGATGAGAATGGTCATTGATTTATAAAGTTTTTATATGCCTTCATCGCCAAAAAGAAGCAATATATATGTATATATAATATTTTCAAACTATCGTGCCGCGCTCATATTACTATCCGTCTCAGCGGCTGTCTACTACTGCCCACTAACGCCAACAACGTCAATAAAAAACCGTTAAATATACAACTGCGTGCATTAAATGTGATTGTGCATCGGTGCTTAATAATTTACTGTTATATATGTATTACTCTGTGCTGCTGTTGTATGTTTTGTGTATTTCATTTTCATTTTCAATTCTTTTTCTTTTGCTTCAACTCAAATTTGATTGAAACTTTTATAAACTTTTATTATTTACGCGCATTTTCGAATTCTAAACAGCACAAACATCGCAATGATTGTTGGTTGTTTATTTGGCAGTATTCGTGTGGAAATTAATTCGATTTCAGTGCAAACTTCTAATTTAGGGATTTTCTCATACAATAACATCCATGTACGTACTCGTATGTATGAGCGCAAGTCTGTCTGTGCTGCACTCTGCTGGCAATGTTGCTTGTGATTCTCAACGTCTGCAAAGATGTAGAGGAAAATTCTTTGAAGGTGAACTGGAATAGAGCGTGATTGCGTGAGTCGCTCTGTACTGTTACAATGTTACTGCTGCTGAGAGCGCATTTCTGTAGTGTTGCAAGTTTATTGCGTTTATATAGCAAACGGAAAAAAAATTAAATATTGCTCGCTTTTGGTATCAAATTTTCAGCTTACCGGCTAATAATATTTTGAGTTGGATTCTTTTTTTAATTGGCTTATGAGAACTAAAGGTTAAACTAAATAATTATGAAATGGTTATTTTCTTTACTTAATTACTTACTTACTTTACTGGCGTGGAGACCGCTTACGCGATTGTAGCCGAGCTAACAACATTACGCCTTTGGAAATACCAAGTACAGCCGGGTCCTTCTCTACCTGGTCTCTCCAACAAAGTGGAGGTCTTCCTTTTCCTCTGCTTCCACCGGCGGGTACTACATCGAAAACTTTCAAAGCTGGAGTATTTGCATCCATCTCGTCCACATGACCTCGCCAGCGTAGCCGCTGCTCCTTGATCAGCTGAACTATATATCAATGTCGCCGTATAACTCGGACAACTCACCGTTCCATCGTTCCCTTTTTTATAGATTGGGCAGAGCACACTTAAATTACAATTGTCGCACATGCTTTCGCCCGATCATATTCTGCAAAGTAGCTGATGCATGCACCTTTGTCAGCTCTGGTTGAATAGTTCTGCCGATTGCTATTCGAACTTTTTCATGGTCAGTTAATGGAACGTCTTTCCCATCGTCATCGATTGGGCTTTCGGGCTCACCATCTCCGAATTCCCCATTCTCACTACTATTAAGTAGGTTGGAGAAGTGTTCCTCCGTAAATTCAATATATTCTGAGCATCGGTGGCAGGTTGTATTTTCATTTAACTTTGATGCGGCTGCCTCAGATGTAAAGTCCATAAAAAGCAGTTTTCAAGGGGCAAAAGACAAAATATACACATTGCTCCAGACCCCAAGGGCATTGTGGGAAGCAAAAGGATTGATGAAATTGCCAAAAGATTCCTCCACCTAGCAGTATTAGATTATTAGTTTGTTCTTAGTTAAGAGACAGATCGAGGTGAGATGGAATGCCTTAACGGCCTGCAAGAGTGAGACATTGGAATAACTCCAACTAAGGCTTCCACGAGAGCTTCATGTCAAATGTTAAATAAGCTAAACAAACTTTCGTGAACTAAGAACACTTTTTTTATATATATAAATGGTTAATTATGATATTTAGAATATAAAAAAAATATTTTGATGAAAATTTAATTACTTTTCTATTTACTATAAAAGCTATGAAGTGTGATGCAATGTATATACATACTCGAAGGTATTAGAGAATTTTCTGATTATGACTAAGAGTTATGGAAAGAGAGCGAGCTGCTTCCTTTCACCCATAGAGAATTAAAACTGTGCTTTTAAATTAATTGTAATTTCTTTTTCATATGGAACAAATAAAATTTGTTTCTTTTTTTCAATTTCTTTGCAAAAATTTGGTATTCCCCAGATGAACCAGTTTTTGTTGCTTAAGTCTTTCGTTTCACTCCAGTCATGCAATTACCTAAACAACGTTTTGATATTTCATTAAATATTATTATTAATTTATTGCAAAATTTCAAAATTTCAAATTGTCCAATGTAGTCTTTATACAATTATCAAATCGCATTAAATTATACGAATTGAAGTACTTCAGCGAAATAGGGCCACCGAGACACTTTACTTAACGCCTATTGAATGCATTTCATTTATACATTTTCGAGTATAACGAGCGTGTGTGCGTGTGTCATACGAAATCCCCCATGAGAGCGCAACTATTGCGGATTCTGAGCCAATTTTAAATGAGCTATGCATTTGTTTTGTTTATGGTCTTTTATTTTGGTTTTCATTTATCTATTGCCGACTGTTGCTACATACGCGCACACATACATACTCGTACATATGGAGTGTTGTGGTTGCTACCGTATTGCAAGTACTCACATCAAGCACAAAACATAAAGCGGATTTTAGCGAATGCTTCTTCTTCTTCTTCTTCTGCTTTAAGCACGTTTGCATTTTGCTTTGCATAAAAATGTTTTTGTTTAGATTTTATTTATTTTTTCATCTTTTTTATGTTATGGGTTTTTTGTGTTTTTTCTTTGGTTATTTTTCATTTTGCTATTGCATTTGATTTTGATTTTATTGCAGCTTCTGCTTCTGCTTTTGCTTTTGCTTTTGCTTTTGGTTTTATTTGACTCTTGTTAGTTGCGCTTGAGCTGTTTGCCGAGGCTTAGTGCCAGCTGCTGGTTGGTGATGATGATGATGCTTTTTGGATTTTGCGCACTCATCGCTCAAAGCGCATCGGTCCGGCTGATGTACTGGTACTAGCACGTTTGGTGGCGGCGTTGGTGGCTGTATACTGAGCACTTTGGAGGTATAAAGTAAATTTGTTTGCACGATTTTTTTAACTTTCGCATCTCGACAAGCGGCAGAGTCGCACGTGTTAGCGCGCATTCGGTGTTTTATTCTCCCCTCCTTTTGACATAGTCGCGATAATTATAAGTGTAGGCGTGTTAATTGGAAAGTGCGTGAGGAAAACCCACAACTATTTAATTTAAGTGAATTTCAATACAGTTAAATATGTATTTGATGGGGTTAAAAAAAATTATTAAGATTAATATTCTTAAAGAAAAATATAATTTAAATTTATTCGTGAGCATTTAGTACATAAAATTAATTTGTGTAAAACTGAATACAGAACAAGCATCAACCAAACAATTCACACAATCGTAATTAGTCATTGTAATGTATAAAAATTCGAGAAATCAATATTAATTAATGGATAATCGGACATCTATGATTTCTTGGATTACGAGAAGAACCCGAATCTAATTCCTTTCAAAAAGGACTATTCGAGGAACATATTACGGATTCAAACATACCGAGATATGGCGTAGTATTAAAGCCAAAATAATAATATTTATTTAAAATAATTAATAAAGAATTATTAAACTATTGAGCGGAGCAATTTTTTGAAGATTTTGACATTCTTAAACATTTTTTATGTGAATAAGAAATCATCAATCAAAATTGTAGTCAATAATTTTCCTATTATTTTGACCTGCCACGATTTGCACTGGATCAAAAAAATCACGCCAGCTTGATAATTACTTAAAGGTATCCTTATCGTAGCCGGTACCAAGACACCATTGTTGTAGCACCTACTGTGGCTGAATGATTTGAGATAAGTTTTTCTACCATGTGGTCACTTCCTGGCAACGAATTTCAAGCCCTGCAGGTGTAATAGTGACTAGAGCTCTAGATAAATTTTACGCTTTCGAAAGTTTCGAGCAGTGGAAAAGTAATTTTCAGTTTAATATTTCAGGATTTTTTTGTCTTCTTCAATGATTTTAAAACTTTGAATTTATTACTTAAGAAATAAATACAAAGTGTGCAAAAAAAAAATTACTAAATCCAAAAATAAATTTAATAATACTCGAATGGGTTGGATTACTCGAGTATGTCCAAATGTTGAGCATTGTCCGAGTACTCGGTGATTAAGTGTTCGAGTTCGAGAGTTCAAGATCGATAAAAACTCGGAAATAATAACATAATATAAATATAATGGAATATATATATATATAATGAAATATGCCTAGTGAAAACTAATTAATTATTTTTGCACTCAATGCTTTATTTTACATTAGAACTATCCGATTAATACGGTGTATTTTCTGAGCGACTGCTTCCTTCTGACGGTCCAATTTCTGCCAGTACAGGTCCGAATTAAGATTTTTGCGGTAGGGAAGTAGCTCGAAGTGGATGAATCCTTGCCAATCCTACCAAACTAATAACAAATCCATTCATGGCCGTTAAACCTGACTTTAAGACCGTTTGTACCGACTCACTGACCTTCGATCATAGCCGTTTTCATTTGATGTTGCTGTAAGTGACCCACTGTTCAGCACCAGTCACTGCCCGCTTTAGAAGTGCGTCGAGTTTGTTACGACTCAGCAGCGACTCGCAGATGGAAATTCGTACGATGAGGTTTTATTCCATTAATTATAGTATACAACCTTTTTAAAAGTGTTCCTAACTGTTTTTTGTGCGATTTTCAGTTTTTTCAATAATTAAATCATGAAAATCACCGATATTTTGGTTCTATCGGTGATTTGGAAGTTTCTGCCTAACTGAGTGTTATAGTGTTAGGGCCATAAAGAGTACACATTTTCAACTGACTTGACTTGCATTTTCGCCTTTGTCGAAGCGAAGTAGAAAAAGAAGTGGGCAGCTTTGTTTACCACCTCCAATAATCAAGTTATATTTAGAAGCTTAAATCCAACCATTCACACATTTGGTCTTAGAAATAGTTTTTAAACAAATCCTTCAACACCGCATGAAACAAAACGACCTTTGGTTCTTGGAACTAATTACGTTGATAAGATTATTTTTTTTTTTAATTTAGCTCTATCAGGCTCGTCGGATTAACTTACGACTTTTTTATTATTAAACAAATGCTTTTGATCTCATGAATGTTCTTAGCCATCATTAATTGAGCTATTGACATAAAGCACTTTTTTAAAAAAATATCTCAAATACAAAATCAATATACATAAATAAAAACTGATATATTTATACTAAAATATATTTATTTAAATAAAAAATAGAAAATTTAATTGGTGATTTACACTTTATATATTCCATTTAAAACTTCGAGATTTAAAAAAAAATTGTTTGGCTAAAAAATTTTTGAAACTCACATTTTCACCCAATATTATTGATTTTTTATCGTTAATAGTTACTAAAAAAATTAATTCCTTTATTGAATTTCATTTTATTGAATTGCTTTTTCGTTTAAATTCGCCGATTTCTATAAACGTCCGTTGTGTGCATTTATTGCAGCCTTTCTGCAATTTCCTTGCACATACGAATATAAATAACATACTTTGTTGTAACTTTTTTGTTTTTATTTATTTTGCCATTTTCCATGTTCTGCTCGTTGTAGATAAGTGAATCTCATTCAAAATAAATTACGTATACGCTCCACGCTACATTTTCCGTAGTTGAGATATAAACATACATACATACACGTATACATGGCTATGAAAACAAAAACATCCTCAGCAAGCACAATGATGACTCAAAAACAGCAATATAAACAGCAACAACAAAACGAACAACAAGCAAACTCGAGTTTCTCACATCGGCGGCATCTTCATTTCGGATCATCGCTATTTCACCTACAAACCGTTACAATCTCATTGGTTGTTATTATTTTCGGATTATTTTGCGCTGCGATTTGTGTCAGTGGGGTAAGTGTAAATATGTACATATGTAAGTGCTTTATTTAAAACTAGCATGCAAATATATATGTATATGTATATGTAAATCTATGTGAATATGCAAGTACACATACACACACACTTCCATGTACACACTCGTATGTTGGCAAAAAACTCATAGTGATTATTAAATACAACTGCCCTGAGCATTCTACACCTTTGTTCGGCCGGTTGAGGTCTGACTGTGGCGTGCACTCGCCGTCGTGTGAAAGTAAATTTGCGCTTCCATCGCACAAACGTCGGTCTGTGCAACAGATGAGTACGAGTACATCACAATCACCGACACCAGCCACATACAAATCCACATCTGCATCTACATCTTCATCTTTACTTATTACAGTCATCTACTTTGCACCGAACAGTCCCTTTATTATACTTATATTTTTTGTAGTTCTTTTATATACGAGTACACAGACTTGTGTATTTGTGTGCGGGCCTACGTGCTATATGGCCTGAAAACACAAAAAGAGCTTGGTTTTTTGCTCTTTTGTATTGCCAATCGCCTCTTGGAGGTTTTGATTGCAAAGATGCACTGCTCCTCTTCAGTTCGGCCGTGCAGCTACAATTTAGCGCAATTGATCGAATGAACGTCCAACATTCACGATTTCAATTTAATTCCATTGTACGAGTATACCAATCATTTCCCTCGCTATGAAAAAGTAACGGCAAATAACATATGAAAAGATGAGCACTTGTACTTTTGCTTTTTGCTTTTTTGCTTTTTGCTCTTTGTTATGCTATTTGATTCGATTGGCGGCTGTTAATGGTTGGTGGTTGTTGGTTGGATGAAGGCCGTTCAATAAATTATCTAATAATTTTATATTTTACCTTCAATAAAAAGTATTGTACTTCCATTGCAATTTGACACTTTGAGTCTAAATTGGTACGTAATTTTTCATTTTAAAGCAAAAGTAATTTCCCTTCCATGAGGGAGCGGATGCCACAATCAAAAGTTATAAAATATAAATTTTTCTGATTGAATAATGGGTTTTAGTCTGAAGATTTTTAGCGTGAGACAAATAAGCATCAATTGCATTCTTTTCTTTTGATCTAACCACAGTTAGAGTTAACTGTACAATGGAGAATAATAAATGTTGTTTTGAGTGCTCTAGCAACTATTGATTTTAGGAAAACTCTTACTGACACGGATATATTTCCCTAAGGCAGATACTTAGTCCCGAGCTGATTGCTTGCATCTTTCAGGCACATTGACTGTGTAGTTTTTTTGAAAAAAAAATGCTAATTTAAAAAAAATTAAAGCGCCGAAAAATTAAAAAGCAACTTTTTATTTAGCCTTAATAAATTTAGTCATAATTTAAAGAAAGTTTAGTTTGTGTCGGCTTCGCAAAATTAGTTGAAAGCAAATAAGTTAATTACATACGTGAATTACAAGCGCGGCGTCGACTTGGCGCGGTGGGACGCTTTCCCTGAAAATGTCAAGCGTACACGAAGTTAGGCCAGACAGCAACCCGAGCGATCACATGTGAAGTACGGAGGGTCTAAGTGGAGAATGTTTTTGAGCATTCTCCCGAGATCTCGAAGCTATATAGTTTTTTTTTCCTTCGATTTGAGCATTTAAATTATACGTATGCTTTTGACATTAGATATTTCGACACTCTTTCCTACCCTTCTGGTGAAAATTGATTCCAACTATCGATGAAACCGATAAGAATCTGTACTCTTTCCAATGAAAAAGAATTACCAAAAATCGGATCACTCTGTAAAGAGCTTTGCGGGGTTAAACATAAAACATACGGTATGAGATGAGAACCTTGTCGTTCGTCTCTCAATTCAGCTGAATTTGAATGCTTCTTAAAATGGCATGTATTCTTTTATGAACAACAATTTTATATAATAATGTATTGGTGTCATTTCACGAGCTTCGTTGATTTTGGTAACAACAAAAACTCGCTGCGGCCCAATGCAGTGGCTAAGGCAAACCATTTTGCACTTACAAGTGTCAAATATAGAGACGTAATTCTAGAGATTCTGTAGTGGTTTCGAAAAGTGTAATCAATATCCAGGCATAAAAGAAATAAATGCAATATATTTCTTAAAGCTCCGAAAATAGTTATTTGCTATTAAGTCATATTTTTCATTCAAATCTAATTTTTTTTCTCTTTTAGTCTAAACTATATTTAATCTTCATATTATATAAGCTTTATTTATATTAATCAAAAATATTGAATAATATTTCTGATCATAAATCTGAAACATCAATATTGTGATTAGTTTTGGTAATAAAGTTTTAAGCTCAGAAAACGAAGAAAATTATATCCGAAATAATCTGCCTTCGCACGTCTTAATACTTTTTGAATTGTACTTTGAATTGCAGACATTTTGCTGCTGTTGTAATTAGAAAATATGTTAATTTATTCCCCCTTTTAGGCATCACACGTCATGCAGGTAGATCACTCGTATACGTCCTTTAACTTTGCTTACATACGGCGGACTTCTTCTAAACCTTTCCTGATTTCAGTAATATTCTCCTGCAGCATTGGCAATATATTAAAATTGAATTTACCATTACTGCAACAAAAAGGCAATTGAGCTATAAAAATTTCATCAAACACCGCAATGTGCAACCACCACATTCCCTTTTAATCAAAATCCACGTACCAACCATGTCTTTTGTTCACTTTTGTAAGCTTAAAAATTAGCCCATTTACGGTGTTAAAATGTATCCGAACACATACTAACATACATGCAATTGGAAGTATGTATATTTTTCGCCTGGGAAAATTCACGAATGCAACAATTACGCCAAAAACTGTCAACATTGATAACTCAATACGGTAAACACACTTATTTAGTTGCCTTTGTTTGGTGTTTGTACATAAACATTTTTCATCTTAATTGTATTTGTTTATTGGTGGGCTATGTACGAGTGCATGCGGTGCATAATGGTAGAGTATAATAGTTACAAAAGTGATCACATGGGGCTTGGACTAGTTACAGAAATGGTTTTTTGCCCATTATTAATTTGTTTAATGGAAATAAAGAATGATAGGCGATGATCAAAATAAAGCATAAAGATTTTTACAAATAAAAATTAGTAAACAAATAAATATTTAAATTTGAAGGTTTTGGTAATTTGTTTGTGGAGTCGATCAAGAATGTTGGTAATTAGCCATTCGTTCCTTTAAGGAATTTTCGGAAACATGAATGAGAAATGGTAAATACTGCGATTCTACTAAGTCTGAGTTTCATCAAGCCACTCGCTGGAAATTTGTCGTACAGATTCAGGACAAAAAAGTATATAACAGTTTTCAGGGCTTTTGAGGTAGTTGATAGTAAGGAAGCTGAACCGTTGAACTCTAGCTAAATTGCTCATGAGAGTGGTTTTTACGAGTGATATTTACCACACTGTTTTGCAGTAGAAGATATATATGTATATATATATATGTTTATATATATATGTACATATAACTAGTGAGCAATATATCAATTCATAAATTGTTCAATTTTTTCAAAAATTTTTGACATTTCTTTGATAATTTTTTAGTGTGGTATTGAGCAGAATAAGAAGTTCGAATAGAAATTCTATGAAGAAACATGGGCATCGTTAAGGGAGTGAAAAATCAAAGCCTTTCCCAAATCAGCGCATCTGGTAGTCAAGATTCAGTTCAATGCATTTTGATACTAGGTTTACCAATTATTTTCCACACACTCATAGGCCGCAATAAAAACATGTCTACACATGTCTAAGTGATTGCACAAATTTGTCTCTGGTGTCTCTTGAGTGATAATCATCGCCCGCTGAACTCCCACGCATTGTTGCGACCGACATCACTACTGCATCACTGCTAATATAATAGCATTAATGGATATAAACATCAGCCCAGACAACAGAAACAACAATAAGACCACACAAAAGACACATAAAAAGTATAAAAATGAAGAGAAAATAAAAAAAAATTAACCGCAACATCACGAATGCACTGAAATCACTCACAAGAGCCAAACAAAAGCTCGAAGAAAAAAATATGGTTTGAACAAAAAGCAAGAAGAATAAAATCAAACAGCAACAACTACAAAAGGCAATATGAAGGTGCAATCGTGCAATAGTGCAGCCCAAGAGAAGATGCAAGTGATTTTGTAATGTTGCAAGCTATTTGCTAATACTTTTTCGTCGTAGTGCAATAATCATCCAGTGCATAGTTGTATTTGCTATTATTTCTCTTGTCTTTTACTTCGTCCACATTGTCGCTTCGTTTCACTTACCGCAACGCATGCGTCGAGTGGCCGAAAGGGGCGTAGCTTCACTGTTGGTTGTTGTTGTTATCGCCGTTACAGGTTACAGGTTACTTAAGGGTTCCCCACTTCGCGTTAGATTACTCAATTGGCCTTGATGCAATTTTATGTACAATTTCTATTGAGTCCGTGCTGTGAAATTATGCACATGCATACGTATACATATATATGTAATACTCGTGTGTTTGTGGAAATAAACTCTTAGTGAGGCGTTTGTAATTAACAACAATTTGTTTCTTCACCTCAGCAAGCAATTTAATTAAATAGCAAGTGCTTAAGTAAAAATCAATAAATAAATGAGGGATTATACATTTTGCACTTTCGAAAATTAACGTAAGTGATATGCATTTAAAATAATTCGTAATAATAATAATTCAATAAATTCTTTTTATATTTATGTTTGAGCCTTGGCATTTACAAATATGAAACACTACTTCATTCAAAAGACCACATTTTGGCACTTATTGGGCGGTACATTAGTCATAACTTGACGAATTTTGGTTATCAAGGGCTGAAGAGCTAAAGGTTTATCCGCACAAACAAGATTTTTCGCGTAGCCTTCACAATAAAGCCATAATCGCTGGCGTTGTGTGACAATTGGCACCATCTTGTTGAAACCACATATTGTCCAAGACGAGCTCCTCAAATGTTCACACAAAAAGTCGGTTATTATACGATCATAACGTTCCAAATGAGCACAATCACACCGCCGAACT